AATAGTTTTGCTTAAACATTGAATCCAGAACAAGCAAAATATAAAATAATAACAAAATTTTTAATAAATAATGTCTCTATAGTCTATCTGTAGCCGGCGGACCAGCTCTAATACATATTTGATATGATCTCACGGGCCAAATATAATTATATCGCAGGCCAAATTTGACCTCTGGGCCTGAGTTTGACATGTCTGCAGTAGAGCATGGAAACCCGACCGAAGTCTGACGAGACCCATTTGGACAAATATTTAGAACTTTTACTATAGACAGAAAACAGGTGTCCGAAAAACGACTCGCTTTGAGACTAAGTGTTCAAAAGATCAGAGCTCTGCACTTCTACTTTAGATACAAGTCAAAACTGTGTTATTATTTGCAAAATGTGGTGCAATACTACAGATACGTGATACTTTTTGGGGATAAAGTTAGGGTTAGGGTTAGTAACTATCGCAAATTTGAAGCTTCTCCTCGATCCGAGCGCTGTGTGGATGTAAACAAACACACATGAGGAACTACTCTCACCTTTTTACTTTTAAATAACACCTTCAAACTGGATTAACAGCGCTGTTTTGTGGACTGGATGTCATTATTTACAGAGGACAATTTCTATGGATAATGTGGATGAGATGCTGCACTTTAAATGTACCACTTTACGAGAGATGAGTCATAAAATCTTCTCATTATTTTCACTATATCCCTAGTTTGTATTTCACTTCTCTGTGTCTGTTAGAGGCCACACAAACAATATTCTATGTATGTCATTAGTCGGCCTATGAAAATAGTGTGATTTTAATTGTGTTCGGTCGGGTTCGGACATAAATATCTTAGTGCTTATCGGGCTCGGGTTGGATTCAATCACTGCTCTGTCGGATAGAAAAATTTGTCCCGATCCACACTCTAATTCCCAGTCCCAGTTTCCAATATTACATTACAATATTAGATCACACAGACATGCATTAACCTTATATCTTCTGAAGACCTACCATGGCATTGCTAAACAGTAACTACAGAAATGACAAGTAAATATTAGCACAGTCTTAAACCACTGTTCAAACAATGGAAATCTTAAGCCTCTGCTCTTATTGTTTGCCTACAGTTGTCCGCACCCACAGGGCCAAGGAGGAGGCGACATCCTGCTGTCACCCTGGACATTTCACTCTTCAGGTCAGAAAGCAAATCGTGTCTGACACAGCAAGCCAATTTCCCCTGTTTGCCGTCGCCCACACCCAAGGGTGCTCACAACAATGGAGCTGGAGGTGGTGACTCATGCAAGGCTAGAACTAGGTGGGAGATGCACAGCTGTGTTTTTCGTGCGTTTTTGTGGTTCATTAGGTGGTCAGGGCTCTTTTACAGCAGCAATTGAATCCTGTGAGATGCCACGTGTTGGTCTCTCATCATTTCCTCCACAGAAGTAAAACATGTATAATAAACTAAAAGAATTACATAATAAACTTAAGTAAGACACTATGTAAAGCAAAGGTGCACTTAATAGCAGAGGTTTGATTTTTTTTTGCTTCTTTTATATTTGCTAATTTCAGTATTTTTTATGTTTTTATTGACTTGCTTATTTATTTAGTTTATGTTTTATTTTATTTATTGTGTTAATTTATATTGTGCCTACTCTGTGAAGCACTCCAGAGACTTTGTGTTGGTAAAATGTGCTATACAAGCAAAGTTGGTTTGGATTGGATAAAAATATCTATCTAGTAGTGTTGTCAAAATTATCAAAAATCAGATGCTATCCCATACGAAAACTAGTATCGAAACTAGATATTTATCCGAGCAGGTATCAATACTAAAAAAGTCACATTCACAGGACAGAAATGAACCTTTCCTGAAGCTTTAGAATGATCTTGAGCTGTATTAGAACAAATATAAGAGTACATAGACTAATACACACTCATGGACCACTATCGAACCTACCTGGACCACTGATGGTAATATAAAAGAAAGTATTTAATATTGAAAATCACATTCTACTGTCTAAATAGTGTCTACATCGAGTGTTTGTTTTTTGGTATCTGAATCAGTATTGAGCTGAAATCGAGAAATTTGACATTTTAATATCATGACAACATAAAAAGGTATGTTAACTTTATAGAGGTGGGACAACATCCGCATAATACCAGGGAAGCAGGAAGTTATGGAACATTCTACATGAAAATAGCTGAGTTTATGTCATACTGTGGGAGATCATAGCCATAGGAAGTACATTTCCATGGAAACAAACAAGAAAAGGCCCCTCTCAAGGCCAAATAAGAGTCAGATTTGATGAGAGATGCAAGCCCCCGCTCGCAAAAAGAACCCTTACTTTGTTACTGCAATAAACACAACAAAAAATAAAATACATGCTTTCAGGGGAGAGGGGTATGCCACCTGCGTGTTTCCATGGACAAATTGTTTGCCAGGAATGTTCCCTAGTATGACATTTAAAGAAAACAACACTGCGAGCGGTGTTGCCTCTCCAGAGATCTGACCTGTCTGACTTGTAACTTGGCCCGGCCGCACACATACTTCACATGCCCGTCTCTATGGAAACGGGTAAATTAAATGCCATACTGCACAACATTCAGCCGTAACACCTCCATGGACACTAATTTAGTATTAACAAAACCTTTTGCATTTAACCCCAAAATAAAAAAAAAATAAAATAAAGGCTTGGTTAATTGTCAACGAAAACTAACAAACAAAAGCAGTGAGCAAACTTAAAACTAAACAACACAAATAATCACCTTTGGGCACCGTGGGTATGTCGTTTACGCAGTAACGTAAAACAAAATCTATGTCCATACTCACAGCTGCATTTTCCAAGATTTTTCCAGGTTTAACAGGCAAACAACAAGGATACAAGATCAAAGCCTACTTGCTGTCTCTTCTGTCGACTGGTAAAAACCACAAGTCCACCAAGCTGCACTCCGGCTTTGCTGTACCACCCTCTTTTATACTCTAGGTCAAGGGTCTCCAACCTTTTTCCTCTGGTGAGCTACCTTTATAAAACGAAAATACCACAGAGCTACTCAATTTAGTGGTCACCAGTAGAAGAAGTAGAAGAGCTATGGCAAGTCTTAGATGGGGTACAGTTTGATACCTATTAAACAAACCATTATCAGGGTATCCCCAGGTTTGACTACCCCAAATTTAAGACCTTTTTAAGACCACTTAAATGAAAATTAAGACCAACATCGCACCCATTATGCAGGCAAAAAACACCAGGTCCAATTCTAATAATGACCAACCAACTACTATATCTAGAATTTCAGAGCCACTGTGGATTAAACCGACACTTCCCCATGATATGATCCATCCAACGTCTTTCTCCACTGTACTGATTGCCTCATTGCCGCCGGCGACGTAAACAAAAGTATTGTTTGCGTATATTCCAAATTAGACTTTCATTCATGTTACATGATTTCATGTTTTGTTTTGTTTTTCCTCCATATAACATCGCACTGCAGCCCGGTTGAGTAAAAAAAAATAGGCTAATGAAATTTAAGACCTTTGTGAAAATAATAAGACTTGGACAACATAATTTAAGACTTTTTAAGGCCTTAATTTAGCAACATGCAATTTAAGACCTTTTTTCAGACTTTTAAGACCCCGCGGTTTCTCTGATTATCAACTTATTAGTGCACAGTAATATGACACATTTATATTAGTAATTAATCAGATTTTAGTTATTAAGCGCAATACATATCATTCAGAAATCCTTTGGTGAGCTACTTGGAAGGGGTGGACAGCTACAGGCTGGAGACCCCTGCTCCAGGAGCTCCGCGGATTAAACCAAAACAGAAAAGATGTTTAGCAAATTAGACTAAACAAATTAGCAAATATAATATTAACATAACTAAAATGTACTACGCAAGTGAATGAAACTAAATTAGTAAGCTGTCTGATGAACAAAAATAATAAACAAATTTTAGAATAAACAAAATAAGCAAATAGCTCTTACTAGGGGTGTAACAATAACGTATCGTCAAAGTTCTCACAATAATATTGTGGACCATCACAATATATCGAATTACAAGTTTCTTTCTTAAATTAAGAGTTATGGTGCAGCAATAGCTTAAAAAAAAAGTCAGAGGGAACTACATAAACCATGATCCTTTGCTTGATTTCTGTGCAGACTACAAGAAGAAATAACAGTTCTAAGCACTTGTAAGTCTTAGTTCTTTAGATTAACTCTTGTTAAGGCATTTTAAAAGGAAAAAAAATTGCATATTAACAGTTTTATCTGTTTAGCCTCCACAAAATATCGCATACTGTGAGATGTATATCGTGTAAATATCGTACTGAGAGATTTGGATATCGTTACAGCCTTAATCGTGAGCCTCCCCGCCATATCGTGAGCTTCCAGACGATATGATAATAAATATCGTATCGTGAGACTTGAATATCGTTACACCCCCAAGCTCTTGCATTAATTATATCTATACATTATTATATCTGATACAGGTGGAAATAAGCACTGACGCAACAACCTGATGTACAATGCATCTCTCCTGTAAAAAAAAAAGGTTAATGTAAAAACGGTGCGCGGTCCCTGTCTCAAATAAATAAATAAATAAATTCTGACAAATTAAATATAAACGCATGAAAAGCATTGAAAAGTTCTCGTCGTCCATAAAACTACCAATTTAAAGTAAAGAACGTAATAAAATTCATTCATGACATTTAATTGATTAGTTGGAGATTGATTGGGTTTGACGTCAGTAAACAATTTGCGTAATGAACGTGGCTTAACGTCACCTCGTAATTGAGTTACTACTTTAACGCCATTACGTTTCGCCTGACTTTTCCCACGTTATTGTGTCTGGAATCGAGTAAAAAAAAAATACAATGTTTTAAAACAATGAAATCGTTTAACGCAGCACACAAACCGCAGATCAATGCCACAAACTCCATCCGTTCTCTTTCGGAGTTGTCAGCTGTTAGCCTGTTATCATTAGCCACATGCTAAGCTCTATTCCCAATGCAATCCTACGGGGCAGCGCTGCGAACTCACCTCGGGATCATGCTGGCACAAACACGCTGCTTTTACGAGTCTCGGGTCCGCGTAGAACTGCAAACAGCAATCGTCAGCCCATCGTTCGCGTTTTATTTTATTTTTATTTTTAACCAGTTGTGCCTTTTGGAGTGCACCTGCTAGCACCGAGTCTCTTCCCGGGGTATCCTTGCGCCTCTCGTATCTTTTTCCATGTTACGTCCAAGAAGTAGATCCACATCCCGGAACTACGCTGGTCACCGTGGTAGTACTCCGCGAGGGATAAAATGACGTGGGTTAACAACATGCTATTTTTTTTTTTTTTTTTCCTCAATTCCCCCATCTCATCCATTCATGATTCTGTCCCCTCTTCATTCATTAAGATTGAACAGAATAAAACGTTTAAAGTGTTTTGTTATTTCACAACCATTATACTTTTGTAGGTCTCTTTACGCCCAGTTCTTCAAAGATGCAGTAATTTGGGTTCACTATAGTCCTAAAATGAATGTTGCAAGCATAAACTGTAGGGATGCACTAATATGATTCTGGTATCTGATATCAGCACCAATATTGAACATTTTGGTGGGTTAGTTATCGGTTCAGCCCATGTTTAATTTTGGTCTATAAGGTACGTTTATGTTTATTTAGTAAATACGGGACAGTGCACAGTAATCAGCATGTGTTAATACAGCATGTAACTGTGTCATAGGCTTATTTTCATCCCTAGCCCCACTGAAAAGACAGAAAAAAGGACAAAACATTCAGTCCATACACATAATAAAGACATATTAGTAAAATGAGAACATGCTAAAGCACACACTGCACACAGATTGAAGACAATAGGCAAAATTTGAATCTCACAGCAAGACAGAGACATGTGTTGAAGTAATAAGATGTGTTATGGGCCCAAAACATCTCATAATATTAAACTTAGATTTTTACAAAGTTGTTATAACAGTTACAAAAACACGTGGATAATTTTGACCATAAGATGTTATATTTTCATATTTGTCATTGTCATATTTTCATCTCTGCCTTAGTACTGGTTGGTATCGTGTATTGGCAGATACTTAAAACAGTATCTGCTGGATTGGTGCATCCCTGGTATTAAGTGAAATTTAAAGAAAGTAGTCAAAAGTTGTCCATATTCATGTTGTTGTAAAAACAAACATGAAAATGACTGAACTCTTCACATTCCCCTCTGGTCCCAGTGAGTGCACTGAAGCTTTGACCTCTGGGAGCACTCTACTCACTAACACGGCCTCTTATAAGATTGAGTTTTTCCTGGGACAGGGCACATTTGAAAACATGTGTGCAAGACATGAAAACTGCCACCATCAAAATGATTAAGAACCAGGAGACGTACATCAGAAGTGCCAAGATGGAGTATGCTGCCCTCAGCATGCTGAAGAAACTGGACTTGGACCAGCGCAACATCGTCAAATGGAACCACATCTTCATGGACAAAAGCTATATCTGTTTGGAATTTTGCAAAAAATCATGCAGTGCAGATATCCTATGAAAATGAGGTGTCATGGATGCTTTAAAAAATATTACCATTGTTAAGGCTTTTTCTTTATTAATAAAATACAATACTAAAAATGGATGAAGGAGCAGGAAAAAAAAGCCATGTCATCACCCCCTTTTCCAGACAGTAAGACTTAAACAGTGATTGTTAATGGATCGATAATGAAAAAGTGCCTCATTTCATTTTCAAGTCTAATTTCAATGACGCTGACAGCTTTAGGCTACTGTAAGAGTTTATACAATTTTGTACGAAAATGTGGAAAATGCATTCAGACATTGACGTCATTAATCATGATAAACAAATCATCTACTTGTTTCCACCCAAAAATAACAAGATTAGCCTATTTGAATTTAACAGACACTGATAGCTGAACGCCACTCCGTGAGCGTAGTCCTACTTTCCTCCACAAGATGTCACTATTGGGCTAACAGTACATACATCACACGCTATACCAATACAACATATTGCGTTTTTACAGCTAATTATAACATTATGAAGATTGGTGTTCGCCTATATTCAAAACATCTGCTTACAATTGTCGCATAGGCCTAGCGAATAACTCAACTAATTGCAATTTCCAACACATTTTTTGCATTATTTCTCACAGCCTCTCATGTCCCTTAACTCTACATAGGTTTTTTAATTGGTCCCACGCTGGCCCTGACACATCCCAGCCCCATGACGCAGGCACTGTTCATTTTTAACCCTGTTTTTCCTCAATATTCACTTAAGCTCTGCGGTGTTCCACTGGTGACTCATCCCATGCATTAAAACAGTGCCCACTACTTGCCTGCATTGGCCTCTGCTCTGCACCACTAAGTATATGACACGTTGGATACTGTCTGGGTGGGTGTGGCAATCTGTTTTCACTCATTTCTTTATTAATTTCATTTGGATTGGTTGCTAAGTATGCTAGTTATCAGGTTAAAACATCAGTGTTTTGTTTTTTTTTTTTATTTGGCAGCAGCTTCAGCAAGACATGTATGAAGATAAATTTGTTGTAAAATAATGACAAACGGGTGTGTAAAAATACTGAAATATCGACATATTGTAAAGCTGAATTTGATGATACAGCATCGATATCACGGGCTGCTGTATCAATATATCGCCAAGAGTATTTTCAGTTATACTTTACTATATTATTTTGTGTAAGAGCTACAATTGTGTTGAAATTTTCAGTTTTGATGAGTAAAATGGGAGTTTTTTTTTCGTATGCATCATTGTCCAACTTATTGTTTCGTAATTTATATCCAATTAATGACAATAGTAATGTCTTACCTTAGCATGAATTATTGTTGCATTATGTAAATGTAATACAAGTAGGGGCTGAGGTGGATATAGGCCCATGACACACACAAAAAAAATGTAGTCAGATGATTTTTTTTTTTTTTTTTTTTCATTTTAATCTTTAATCACTTGCTTATCCTTATGGAGTTGTTATTGCTTTGTCAAGATTTTTTCCCCAAAATGGCATTAATTTTATCACCATGGAACAGGTGACGCTACCAGGTCAACCTACAGGTCAGAGAGACAAGCCTGCTTACAATTACAATACAGAATGGATGGTATTTTTGAGCAATAAAAAGTACATAATGAAATAAAAACTAGATGTTTAATGCCATATTGTGGAACATTCAAGGCAACGCAACAACATCTCCATAGAAAGTAGTCAGGTAGGGTCAGCAGATCTGTGTAAGGGTAGTTTGAGGAGAGAAGAGCCAAAAGCCTCTGTGTCCTTCAGCAGCACAGCAGCCTCCAGGGGGCGCCATGTGAACACAACAGGAAAGGTCTCACTCCTGACCTTGACCTGCAAAGTATAAACAGGCCAATTCTAATTAATACAGATGGGTGGGACATTATCTTTTATACAGTGAGTTCTAGAAGTTAATCAATATAAGAAATGTTCAAGTTCAAAATGTATTATTATTATTATTTATTTATTTATTTGTAATGGGACAGCACATATTAATGAACATTAAAAATGTAAATATGTAAAGATTATGGCCAGCGTGGCTAATTTCCATCTTCAGTTCCTCAGCAGGTTGATGTAAAATCATCTACAGGACAGAGAAAAGTACAACAACAATCTTACAAAAGTACATAACACCAGCACACTCACTATACACACAACACACTCACTATACATACAAATTAATTTCAAACAGTTAATTTGAAGTTCAAATTCAAGAGTTTAAAAGCTAAACCAACAACCCAATATACAAGAAAATGGAATTTGGGTAAACATGGTGACATATTTGACCATTGAACAGCTGCTGTTTTAAAGCTTTAGGAAATACTGCCAGTGTTGAAAGTTCTCATATATGAGCTGAGTCCTTCCTGGGACAGGGCACGTTTGGAAAAGTGGCTAAATGTGTTTCGACTGCAAGACATGAAAACTGTCACCATCAAAATGATTAAGAACCAGGAGGCTTACATCAGAAGTGCCAAGATGAGGGTATGCTGCCCTCAGCATGCTGAAGAAACTGGACGTAGACCAAGGCAACATCGTCAAATGGAACCACATCTTCATGGACAAAGGCTATATCTGTCTGGAATTTGAGCATTTCCACACCTGTCTGCAAAGCATCATGCAGACCAGATATACAGGCCTCTGTCTATTTGTGAAATCCAGCCAATCATCCAGCAAGTGGCCATTGCTCTGCATCATCGGCAGGGCTTAGGGCTGATTCATGCTGATCTGAAGTTGAACAACATCATGTTTGACAACCATCCCACAGAACTCTACAGTGTCAAGGTGATTGATTTTGGATTAGCTATGAAACAGTCGAGAACTCTGGTAGGAATATATATGCAGACCAGAGACTACAGATCTCCTGAGGTCCTACTGGGTCTCCCTTTGACCACGTTTGGTCACTGGACTGTGTAGCTGCGTATTTATACTTTAACTGCCCACTGTATTCTGATACAACAGAGTATAACATGCTCCAAGCCGTCATGGACACTCAGGATGACTTTCCAATATCTATGCTCCAACAGGAGGTGAAAACCTACACGTACTTCTCGTGGGATAAAAAGTTCATGCTGGAGGCTCAAAACCCCTGAGGAGAATCAACAAGATACTGGCCGCATTCCAAACGATAAGAGGCGAATTAAACTTCAAACTTTGGACCAGCTGTTTCATATCCAGCCCTTTGGGTTCCAGCATGGGACGAATACAGTGGCAGAACACTCAGACAGGCTCAAGTTTGTGGATTTGCTGAAAGGCATGCTTCAGCTACATCCCAATGTCTGGAAAACACCCAGGATCATTTTGCTGCATAAATTCTTCAGCTTGAGTCACATAGAGGCCTTTAAAAGCAGTCAATATGTTCTTTATACAAAGCACATAATGGAAAGTCATCTCCAATACAATAAGCTGATTGGCCAACTACGCCCCAGCTCCTCAGTGATGAAAGGCCTCATAGTTCTGAAAAAGATCCGAAGAGTTCAAGAGTTGATTCTTTTGGACCCAGTAAAATCAAAATGGAACCTGCCCCCAGCTTTGCTCCACATCAGTCTTCAAATATGACAAAGAATCAGGCCGATTCAAAACTGGTTGCAGAGAAAAGGACGGGGCAGAACAGAACTCTCAAACACACAGCTCCAGTTCAGCTTCCAGTAGGTGGGATTAGACCAGGAGTGGGCAAACTATGGCCCG